CAAGTCTTGTGGCAGTGAATCCCGTAAGTTAATTGTGTTTTGGGTGAGTATTTCTTTGCTCTGTCCTGAATCTACTGCTGTAATCAATTTTGTTGGGTGTCCCTGAGTTCTAGTGGTACGGGAGATGGAGCAAAAGTTATTTCCATGCTTTCCATAACATGCAAACTCGCTGATTTTATTCTCCTAAACATTTGGCCTGGCGTGATCTGGTCCATGGGGTCGCAAAGAGTCGGACTCGACTGTGCGACTGAACAACAAAATACATTTGTAAGGTCACGTATATGAAGCGACCTGAACATTCATAAAAGTGCTATATAAAATAACTTGGCCATTCTGTATAAGCAAATTGTGCTACTTGTACCAGAATTTTATAGAGTGCTTCCTCAGTCAGGAAAGACAAAGACTGCAGAAATCTTCTAAAAAGGGCAGACTCTAGTAGGCTGCACTCACAAAAATAACACTGACTTGAAGTACTCAGACTGGCAACGGCTGTGTTTTTTCCTTCGTCTGTTCCTTACCTGACTTCACCCTTACAGGCAGCTGGAATTAGTTCACAAATTGGCTGTAATGATGGAATTTCTGAGCTGCATTATTTTTGTCAGGGTGTTCACTGGGAGAATGTCAGGGATCTAATGAAGCCCGTAATGGTAACGGCAAGAACTTTTCCCTGGGTTGGATGGCACACAGCTGACACCAGCTGAAATCTTAGGCTTTTTCTTTTTATTAAAAGAGAGTTGAAAAGTGTTTGAAAGAGGCTTTGCTCTCTATGGCGTGTACCCACCATTCCTTCGCCTCGCCATTACCTCTGGTCAAAAAGACCACTGAGGCTGCGGTCACACGGAACATTAGCCACGCGAGAGAGATGGAAGACAGGCGGATTTTCCGGGCGCGATCTCACCGGCACATCTGGGAAGCGTAGCGCTTCCGTGGCACAACCAAGGCTTCCTGCCGAAAACACGCAGCAAAAAACTAGTACCTCGGAGGTACTAGTTTCCGGAAACCGCGGGGCAAGGGCGGGCGTCTGATCGCGTTTCCGGTGGCATCCAGTGCCCGCCCATGTCCCCAAGTCTCCGTGGATGCACACACGCACCCAACGGAGCATGCGCATTCGTCGTGTACACAAAAAAGAAAACCAGTTTGCCGCACCGCGCGCTTCTTCGTTGCGCGCAGGCGTGTCCTGTGATCGGCACCTCTCCCTACCCACGGAACCTCCATGGTACCTCCACAGGTGGTCTGATCGCTTAACCGCGCGTTAGTTTGCCCCGGGGCAAACAGCCACACTTCCCCCCGCAGTTTCCTGCCTGTGTGACCGGAGCCGTAGTTTGCCTTTTTGAAACAATGGAAAACCTTACAAAATCTGTTTGCCACTGTCAAAAGCACCATTAGCAATGATCCCGGTTTCAAACCGTTTCTAGCTCTCTGAAAGCACACCCTGACAGGGTAGAAAGATGGCATTGTTGTTGTTCAGTCGCACAGTCGAGTCCGACTCTTCGCGACCCCATGGACCAGATCACGCCAGGCCCTCATGTCTTCAGCCATCCTCTGAAGTTTCCTCAACTTCATGTTCGTTGCATCTATGACACTGTCTAACCATCCCATCCTTTCCCGTCCCCGTCTTCTTGGCCTTCAGTCTTTCCCAGCATCAGGGTCTTCTCCAGTGAGTGCTCCCTTCTCATTGGGTGGCCAAAGTCTTTGAGCTTCAGTTTCATTATCTGGCCTTCCAGGGAACAGTCAGGGTTGATTTCTTTTAGGATGGACTGATTTGATCTTCTTGCAGTCCAAGGGACTTTCAAGAGTCTTCTCCAGCACCATAGTTCAAAAGAATCTATTCTTCGGCGTTAAGATGTTTTAAATAAATAAATAATAACATGTTTTACCCCATTATTCCCCTGTCTCGCTCTCCTTTTCCCCCTGTTGCCCCTCCCTTCAAGCTTAAATTTTAAGCTTTTTAGGGCAAGACAGTTTCCTGTTTGCCTGTTATTCTGTGATGGTACCTGGCGAGAGTCCCTTTTAAGTCCCTTCACCTTGCCAGCCACCATTCCCGGAGATGCCACTTTCCTGCCTTCCCCATCCCACTAGGGATTCCATGGAAATAATGTTGGGGTGTAGAATTTTGGCTTGGATTTTGGTTATGGGATAGAATTTGGCCTATGGCTAATAACGGCAACGCCTGGTAAACTCAACGGAGGTGAGATGGCTTTTCTTTTTAACACTGAACAAGAACAATACTAACAGGTAAGAAAACACTAACAGGTAAGGACTAACTAACAGGTTAGAAAATACTAACAGGTAAGAAAACTGAACAATACTAACAAACTTTTCCAGGCCAGCTTTAATAACCTTGTGACACATAAGCACAAAATACATTTATTGATTGACGTTGTTCACAACCCGCCTTCCTCGTGGAGACTTGAAGCCGCTGCTACCTTGCAAGGCTTTCTTCACTGACAGCACAGTCCCAAGCAGGTCTACAGCCTTGACTTCAGTGGACAGAGCTCTGCTTAGGACTGCACTGAAAGTTATCTGGATTAATGGAAAAATCTGATCCCTGGTACAACTCCTCATCCCACTCTCCTGCCAGGCTAAGAGGTTCGACTAGCCACTCTCCTCTCCATCTGGCCACTTCCAACCAGGGTTCCCACTAACTTGCGCTAAGGTGCACTAGCGCAGGCATTTACGGCCCTTGGCGCAGAAATTTTAATCTCAGCGCAGGACGAAGGGTCAGTGGAGTGGGTGGCCCTGCCCTCCAGCTCAGCCACAGCCTGCAGGCATTAGAAAGAGTGGCCGGTCCTGGCAGGCCCCCTTCAGCCTGTGGCCAAGGATGCTCCTGCCCACCGCCTGGTCTGTGCTGTCGTCCACCTGGCCGTCTGAGCTGCCTGCCGCCTCGTCCCGCCACTGCCATGCTCAGCCATCCAAGCTATCAGCCAGTGAGTCCCTGGGAAAGATCGAGGTCTGGGGTGGGAGACGGTTAGTGGGGCCAGGGGGGTTGTACAACCCCAGGGCCCAGGCTGCGCTCGGGAGCCAGCAGGTGGAGCTGGGGACACTCTTGGAAGAATCATAAAGGTCCAGGGTAGCGGGGCCTGGGGTATTATGTGTGTGTGTGATTGAGGCAGCATGTGTGTGTGTGAGAGAGAGAGAGCGTGCAGCAGGCATGGGGGGCAGGCCTAGCCTGCACTTGTCTGTGTGAGAGAGTGGCAGGGATGGAGGTGAGGGAGGCCCCGGCCCATGCCTGTGTGTGACTGTGTGCATATGTGTGTGTGTGTGTGTGAGAGAGAGAGAGGCAGGGATGGGGGTGGGGGGCAGGTCTGGCCCGCACCTGTCTGTGTGACAGAGGGCCTCCCAGCCGCTGCCATGGGAGGGAGCGGGGCCCCTCTTTCTTTTTTTCTTTCTTTCTTTCTTTCTTTCTTTCTTTCTTTCTTTCTTTCTTTCTCTCTCTCTCTCTCTCTCTCTCTCTCTCTCTCTCTCTCTCTCTCTCTCGTGTAATGCTTAAGAGCGCAGACTCTAATCTGGGAGAACCGGGTTTGATTCCCCACTCCTCCACTTGCACCTGGCTGGATGACCTTGGGCAAGCCATAACTCTGGCACAGCTGTTCTTGAAAAAGAGCAGTTTCTGTCAAGAGCTCTCTCAGCCCCACCTACCTCACAGGGTGTCTGTTGTGGGGAGGGGAAGGGAAAGGAGTTTGTAAGCCGCTCTGAGACACCTTTGGGTGGTGAAGGGCAGGGTATAAATCCAATCTCTTCTTCTCCTTCCTTCCTTCCTTCCTTCCTTCCTTCCTTCCTTCCCTTTCCTTTCCTTTCCTTCCTTCCTTCTTTCTTTCCTGAAAGCTGAGAATTCCGAGATCATGCTACACCTACTGTTACAATGGTAAACTTGATATAATGATATTCCAGGGCTGATTTTAGAATAAAAAGGTTTCCCTCTGGCAGGGGGAGGAAACGGCTGCTATGGGGACAGGGTCTGGGAAAACGGCTGCCATGCAAGCCAGGAAATCCATTCAGGCTTTACTGAGATTCGTCCCAAAATCTTGGAGCAGAAGAAGGTTTGAGAAAGATCAGAGAAAAACCAGACAAGTCCCCTGCTGTGGGGAAGCAGGAAGGAACCCTCCTTCCCAAAATCACTGAACTTGGGGCAGATCACCTGTGTGAAAAACCCCAGGGAGAAGACAGACACAACATCTTCAGTTGCAAGATCTCTCACTCTCTCTGGGGACCTGACGCAAGGTAGATGATTTGCGGTCTGTAGCAGCTCTTATGTTGCTTACTAGGATAGGCTCCTAAGTTCAATTTCCTTTCACGTGACAGGTGCCAGCCAGTTGCCTTCCCTTACACTTGCCTGATGCTGAAATGCGTCCTGTCAATTAGTTACTGGCCCACCCATCAGAGTTCTGCAAACAAGCTGCATGACTTACTAGAACAGTTACCTTTCTTTAGCAATACCACCGTAGCATCACAGTTACTGTTGTCATCAATCTCGGTGTTGTTTGCTAATCCGTTCACCATATTCGTAGCATTCTTTGTTCTTCTTTCGAACAGGTGCTGTAGGCAGGCATTAAACCTATGCAAAGGACACAGAATTCCATCTGAACAGCTGTCTCCACAGAGGCCGTGATCACACACGAGCGAAATAATCCACTTTCAATCCACCTTCAGAGCACTTTCCAACTGGATTTTACTGTGTGAACGGGCAAGATCCATTTGAAAGTGCATTGAAAGTGGATTATTTAAGGGGGGGGGGGTGATCGCGGCCGGAGTAATCTTTATAAACCTTCCTTCATCAAGTTGGTGCTTGACACCTTAAAGAACCCTACCATTATCAGCAGTATAATTCTAACAAGAACAACAACAATATGTAATTTGGCCCTCCAAAATGCATGTAACATAATACTGTTGAACAGTTATCTAGGTGCAAAGAAAGACATAAAAATTTAAAGGACTGCAGAGGTATTCTGAAAGCACTTTCCTTGCTCTGAAAACATGCATCTCTTTTAACAGAAACACGCTCTAGAAGAAAAAAAATAAACAGTTCTGCAAGATCCCTGCATGCAGAAGCGAGGTCAACTACAGAAGGTGTCTACTGGATAAGACCTGTGACGTCACCAACATATTTTCTCCCACAAATCGTGTACCAATCTGCAGCTGCTATGCGGTTGCATGACAGGGGAAGGGAGACATAAAGAACAAGGGTTACTATGCTCTGACTTCCTTTACAGTCGTTTTTGTGGGTAGAGTATTGTCAAGTCCCAGCGGATTTATGGCACCCCTCGTAGGGTTTTTCAAGTTAAGATTGCCCTTGCCTGCCTCTGTACAGCAACCCTGGACTTCCTTGGTGGTCTCCCATCCAAGTACTGACCAGAGCTGACCCTGCTTAGCTTTTGAGATCTAACGAGATCGGGCCACCCTTGGGCCACTCAGGTCATTTTTACTCTGGCTTAATGGACGAATGAAACTGCCCCGTGGGGTTAGATCCAGGTGGTCAGCCGTGTTGGTTTGAAGCAGCAGAACAAATTTAAAGTCCCGTGGGGGCACCTTTAACGCCAACAAAGGTTTATTCAAGGTATGAGCTTTCATGTGCAAGGCACACTTTTTCAAATAACTCCCCAGGACTCAACAGGGATATTGGGTTTTTTTATCTCATTACATATACTAACTCATTCAGACCTCATTCAGACCTCACATATCAGCAAGAAGGACTATAAATCTTCCGTATTTTAGTGTTTTTCTTTTTCAATAGACTATTGTCTATTAGAATACTGAATGTAATGCCAGGAAGAATGGGATGTTTTGCTGACATGACCCTGCATCCACCTGAAAAAGTCATCTTCACGCCTGGGAGGACAGAATGGAGATTCTCGGTTTGCTCCCCACAATTAGAAAAGACACCTTTGGACATTTATCTGCTATTTGGACATATGTATTGCTTTATAGCTGGTGACCTTATAACCTTAGCTTGTTATTTTGGACTTTGCGTATCTTAAACATCATCATGTTACATGTTAATTTTTTCCTGTCTATAAGTTTGAACCTTACACATCATTCCAATGTATTTCTCAAAAGCCAGTCAAATCCAACTCTAGGGGGTGGTGCACATCTCAGTTTCCAAGCCGAAGGGCCAGCGCTATCCAAAGACACTTCCATGGTCATGTGGCCAGTATGACTAAATGCCGAGGCGCACAGAACGCTGTTCCCTTCCCACCGAAACGGTACCTATTTATCTACTTGCAATTTCTTGCTTTCAAACTGCTCAGCTGGCAGGAGCTGGGGCCAGAGACGGGAGCTCACTCCACCACATGGCACTCGGGTCTCGAACTGCTGAACTACAGACCTTCCGGTCTGCAGCTCAGCGTCTTCACCTCTGAGCTACCGCAGCCCTTCAACGGGAGTGAGCAGGACACATATATATTAACAGGGTGTTTCTTTTTTATTTTATTTAAAAATTTTATTAAATATTAAAAATTGTAACATATACAACAATTTATGTAATAAGTGGTTCAGAGTAAGTAATTTGTAAGTAAAGGCATTTTGAGAAAAAAACTGCAGTACGCATAATGAGGAGTAAATGATACTTTGTACATTAAGAAGTAATAATACAAGTGTTTAACTTGAAAATACCTTACAATCAAGATTAACTATTACTAGTGGTTGTGTAGAAGTTCTTTAAAGATAGGTGTGATGTTCTATTAAGAAATTTTTAATTGATCTTACTATATGAAAACCATGAGCCAGTTGTGACTGAGCAATTTGCTATGATATGGATTTTCAGAACCATTCCAAATAATCTTTCCAAGATGGAGGTATGTATTCCTCTTCTGATAAATAAGACAGAATTGGAAACCACTTTGCACTGAACGTCTTAGTTGAGTTATTTTTCATGTGTAATTACTAGTTTTGTTAGTTATACTTTCTAGGACATATTGGTCCCATAATTTCCTGAACCAAGTTTGGATGTCAGGGATATTCTTATCCTTCCACATTGAAGCTATAGAGACTCTGGCGGCGTATAACATTGTTTCTAGTGTGCTCTTATAGTGGTGTTTAACAGGGTGTTTCAAAGAGAAGGAATAAGAGCTGAACTGATGGTCCGTATGTGCATACTGGCCCCATTCTTGCCTTGTGTGCTCCTTCCCATATGAAAGCGAGGCCTCAGGAAGCAGCTCAGAACCTTCACACGCAAGAAACGAGGCCAGGAGCGATACACCGCTCTGCACCCTCCAGCACAGCCGCTAAGTTGCTTCAGTTCCTGGTTGGGCTAGGATTTGCTCAGGACACCAGGAGGCGCCAGACTGGTCCGGGTCTTGTTTCCTAGTGTGCCACGCTTCCTTCTTTGGACCGTCGTCCACTGCAGCTGTTGGGAGCCGTGGGGCAAAGTGATGGAGCAGGGCAGCCCCCTGGGGATTAGGTGGCTACATGAGCAAGACGATGACAAGGCACCAGAGTCCCGAGGAGGGATTCCTGGCTGTCACGGTCCCGTTCCCTTCATTCCACCAAGGCTGCACGTCTGCTAATGTAACTGAGGCCAACGGGGGTGTGGTGGTTAGGAGGGCAGACTCTAATCTGGGAGAACCGGGTTTGATTCCCCGCTCCTCCACATGCAGCTGCTGGTGTGACTTTGGGCCAGCCACAAGTTCTCGCAGAGTTGTCCTCTCAGGGGCAGTTCTCGAGAGAGCTCTCTCAGCCCCGCCTACCTCACAGGGTGCCTGTTGTGGGGAGGGGAAGGGAAAGGAGATGGTAAGATGCTCTGAGACTCCTTTGGGTAGTGAAGGGCGGGGGTATAAATCCAGTCTCCTCCTCCTCCTCCTTTCTCTGAGGCCATATTACAAGTTTTTTCAGCTGACTTGGCACTGAGACAGGTGATCCAGGGAGCTACTGCGACTTCACCTGGTCCTAGGGCCTTCTTGTCTTCTGATAAAAGTACACATGCCATCTCCTCTTTCCCCACACTCTGCCTCTGGAGTCTGACTTTTTTCTTTAGCCCGTCTCAACTATGCTGTTTTCTTCTGCTTTCTGGATAATCAGTCTCTTTCCCGTCCCCAGCTTTGGAACTCCTCATCTGATCTGCCAAGCAAAGGGACAAATTGACGGCTTCTCTATCCACCCCCCCCTTCCTTTTCCTGTTTGCTCCCTGATTATCTGGGGGACCAGAGCTGCTCCAACCAGGCAAAAATGGGTGGTTTTGTGATCCCATCAAATTAAATAATTAAATAACGCGTCTTTAACAGAAAGTAGACGTTCATACTTATTTTAAAGGAATGCAGACCGGTTCCCTTGGCTTCCTAAGTCATGTGATTACAGTAAAGGTAAAGGTAAAGGTCTCCCTTGCTCGAAAGCCAGTCGAGTCCGACTCTAGGGTTGCGGTGCTCATCTCCGTTTCCAAGCCGAAGAGCCAGCGCTGTCCGAAGACGTTTCCGTGGTCATGTGGCCGGCATGACTAAACACCAAACAACGCTGTTCCCTTCCCACCGAAGTGGTCCCTATTTATCTACTTGCAATTTCTTGCTTTCGAACTGCTAGGTTGGCAGGAGCTGGAACTAGAGACGGGAGCTCACTCCGTCATGCGGCAACCCGGGTCTTGAACTGCTGAACTACCGACCTTCCACAGCCTGCAGTTCAGCGTCTTAACCACTTGAGCCACCGCAGCTCCCGTGATTACAGTAACAACTGTTAATTCAGATGTAACAAAATGGATGATCGATTTGGTTTTATTAATTTAAAAAAACAAAAAACAGACCACCGCAGGCAACACACCTTCTCTTTGTCCCGATTTCTTATTCTACTGGAATTTTCTAAATCAGCATTAAAACTTGGAACGGTAAACAGACAAGGATATATTGCACTTACTTCATGATGACGATGTAGAAGACGTACATCATCACTAGAATTAAGGACTCCCACCTGCAACCAAACCGGGAAGAAAAGAAAGCCAAGTAAGGGGCAGGACTCCATGGGACTGAAGGGGATCCTTCCCCAAATGACCTCTGCCCAGGCCTGCCTACTCTCCCGAGGCCCAGGCTGAGATTCTGTATTTTTTCATGTGTGTGCGTGCGTGCGCGCGCACACACCTGGATGTCACGGCGACCTCTGGAGACTGACCCCTACTGGGGTCCTGGAGGATATTCAGAGAGGTGGCTGAATGAAGCCTGTCCCCGCCTCCCGACTGCTGGTATTCCATGGAGGTCTCCCATCCAACCATTTGTCAGGGTCGGCCCTGCTTAGCTTCTGAGATCTGGGAAGATCAGGCTTGCCTGGGCTATCCAGTTCAGGGTCACACAGACTGAGATTCAAGGGGCGGAGCCTGAAAGCTAAGGTGTGGTAGCTAGCAATAAGGTTGCTGAGTCTCAGACATGGCCTCGGAACTCAATTTCTGGGGCTTATTCTCACGGTGGCCGGTTGAGGTCTCAGGGGCATCATCAGCCACCCCACAGACCTCTTCTATGACTTCTGCGCATGCCTCCTAGCAGGGGTCATTTCCTGCAGGAGCGCACAGGAGCGGAGCTCCGGCAGTAAAGAGCCCAGGAGGCGGGCACATGCAACAAGCCACACCCCCTGCTCCCAGCAGCCCTCTGTCAGAGTAAGAAGCAGCCAGGTAAATTGAAGAGCCCCCCGCTGGCCCCCCGGTCCAAAACAGTCCAGTGGCACCTTTAAGACTAAGTTTTATTCAGGCACAAGCTCTCCCTCCTCTGCGAGGACAGATCTGCACGTTCCACCCCCCACCCCCCAATAGCTAGCAATCCAAAACAGTCCAGTGGAGCCTGACCGGTGGGTGTTGCCTTCTGACACACTTCCGGTGATGTCAGGGGGTGTGGCACATGCAAATGAGTTATGCTAATGAGTTATGCTAATGAGCTCCTGCACCTCTTTTTCTACGAAATGACCCCTGCCTCCTAGTGGGAACCACGGGCACTGGAGATGGGAAGCGGTAATCCGGCCCCAATGCTTCAAGTTCACTTTTATGTTCAGCATAACATTAATTTCCCCGTTGTCTTCTGAATGCTTTATTCTCTGACCAGGACTACACACCACCACAGCTACCATACAGTACAATTTCTAGCGGTTTATGGAGACACTACCCTTACTACTGCCAGGGCTCTACTGGTAGCAGGAGCTCCTTTGCATATTAGGCCACACCCCCTAGTGTAGCCAATCCTCCAAGAGCTGACAGAGCTCTTCTTACTGGGGCTACTGTAAGCTCTTGGAGGATTGGCTACACTAGGGGGGTGTGGCCTAATATGCAAAGGAGCTCCTGCTACCAGTAGAGCCTTGATTACTGCTATTTACTCAATCCTGCCTACGGGCCCCACCAAGCCCCTCCTTGAAGATTTGGGATGCTGGGTAACTGGCGACAGTATCACTGGCACATGAGAGGGGGTGTGTACGTGAAGCTGCTGTATACTGAGTCAGACTATTGGTTCATCAACCTCTGACTTGTCTTGTCTACTCTGACTGGCAGTGGTTCTCCAGGATCTCACGCTGAGGTCCTTCACGTCACTGAATGCCTGGCCCTTTTACCTGGAGATGCCGGGGACTGAACCAGGGACCTCTTGCATGAAAAGCCAATCCTCTAGAACTGAGCCACCGCCTTTCCCCATAGTGGATCCCAGTGGCAGCCCCGTAGCTAAGGACTTTTTAGGGAGGGGGCCTGGGGGGCCCACCTGCTAATTCAATCAAAGGCTCCAGGGCAAGGGCTGCAGCAGCCACAGCCTCTGGGTCCAGCTCCCCACCCCCCCAAGGAGCCCCAGTGCCTCTTCCCGAGGCACAGCTCCAGGGACAGCCTCTGAAATCACTGCCCTTGTCCTCCCTGCCAACAGGCTGACAGGGGGAGCTGGGGTAGGGGAGCCGAGGCTCAGGAAGGGGCCCCATAAAAACTGCTAGGGGGCTGGGCCACACGTTAGCTACGGGCCTGCCCAGTGGGGTAGGGGAGACAGTTGTGGTGCCTACATGGGGTGCAGTGGCGGACCTACAATTTTTGGGACCATGAAGCTTGAACTGCTATGGGAGTCCTTTCTCAACCAGCAACACCAGGGCAGCATCCAACAACAGGTATTAGAGCATATTCTAAGGTCAATATCGAGTACTTCAACCCATTGGCTTATGTAAAGTAAAGGTAAAGGTTCCCTTGCTCGAAAGCCAGTCGAGTCCGACTCTAGGGTTGCGGTGCTCATCTCCGTTTCCAAGCCGAAGAGCCAGCGCTGTCCAAAGACGTTTCCGTGGTCATGACTAAAAACCAAGGCGCACGGAACGCTGTTCCCTTCCCACCGAAGTGGTACCTATTTATCTACTTGCAATTTCTTGCTTTCGAACTGCTAGGCTGGCAGGAGCTGGAACTAGATTCTGACACTAAAATAGCCTTATTTTAATAACAAACACTTTAAAAACGCCATCAACTTTTGTTGAAAAATTCACTCATTTTAAAAAAAGTTGCCTCAGGGCCCCTCCAGGATTAAGGGCCTTGAAGTTTAAGCTTGATGAGTTTCATGGTAGATCCGTCCCTGATGGGGTGGGAGTTGGCACCTATTCGGTCGGAGGAGAAGCCTGGTTTTGACTGATGGACAAGGTGGGTGTGAAGTGAACAGAAGTTCTCAAGTTAAGCAGCAAACAGCTGCCCCTTCATCCTGGCCTCGCTTCCCTTCCCCTGATGACCTTAGAAGGGAGCGAAGAGCCTGAAACTTGAGGTACGGCTCCGAGGACTTGGCCGGGGAGTTCGCCTGCTTCCCGCATGCGATTAATCCCAATGGAAGCTTCAAGCCCGCAGAACAGCTTAGCGGGAATCTATGGAGAACTGCACCCAAATCCAGTTCGTGCGTCTCACACAACCACCAACGAGGCCGGTTCCTTCTCTCTGCTCGCCAGGAATCCTAGATTGATCTAAGCCCTCCATCATGTGCATTCTTAGACGCGACACAATAAAGGTTGCAATGTGACGCGACACAATAAAGGTTGCAATGTGAACCTTAAGGGAGTTATGGGATGGTTGTGAATGGTTGTGTGAGTGCATATGTGTATGGCTGTAGATCACTGAAATGATTGCACCTTTAATTTCGTTGTACTGTGTACAATGACAATAAAGTAGATGATGATGATGATGATGATGATGATGATGATGATGATGATGATGATGATGATGATGATGATGAAGATGAACACTAAGGGCTTAACCAGACGAGATGCGGGAGATCTGTGATTGGTTCTCCCATCTTTTAATTTATTTTAAAAGCATCTGTGAGGGCTGAGGTCCAGAAGCTCAAGGGGGTGTGTGTGTTAACTTTTCCTTCCTGTGCTGTCGCCTGGACAGAAGTCCCCCTCACTCTGCAGTAGCTATCTGGCCCCAAAGGGCAAGGAACCCATCGTTGCCCCCACCACCACCACAGCTAACAGAAATCCTCGTTCATTCTCCTGCTCTCTCCCAGAAATCCCTTTCTGCTCTCTACATGAGACTTGAGTACAGACCTTGCATGGATACCAGAGAGGATTTCCATGGGCAGAAGGGGGAAGGGTTTTTGGCAATATCCCCCTCCCAGTTCTGACCTCTGACTCCCCCTTGCAGTCCTGGGGGGGGGGTCCCCTTTCCCTCAGGAGCAGCATTTGAGGAGGGAGGAGGAGCGGAAGTTGTGCTCCATTGACAGGAAGTGCTTCTGTTCAGGGACATCTTTGGAGGATCCAAGTGAATCGCTTTCCAGAGGCCGAAGACTGGGCAACAGCGGTGTCACTGCATACTGGTACACACCCTCACTTTCCCCCCCACCCCACCAGCCTCTCTACTTGAAGAGGGTTGGGCAGTTTGCCGTAGTGTTTCAAAAACCTGCCTGACCTGTCGAAGCAGAGAGCCATAGGGGAAGTCAAAGTCTTTCGACAAGACAGTGCTGATCACTGATCCTGGCACTTGTGGAATTACAGCCAGGATGACTTACTACGGGGAGGCTATTCTTAGCAACATCCCTGCAGTGACCGTAACATGCTGTCGGGCTGTTAAACCCACAGTAATAGCCGTAGGAGAACACTTAAGTCTTTTCATTTTGACAGCTTTCTTTTCTTTCTTTCGCTGCTGTCGTCTCAGAAGTATGCTTGTTCACAAAGGGCTGTCGCATTCACACACACAGCTTGTTTTTACAAGCCCTGTGCCTTCAGCGGAGGCCTGCGTGGGTGTGCAAGACCTCGCTGACCAGAAAGTGCTAGAAAAGTACACTTTCCTCCTCCACAAAGATTTAGAAATGCCACCCTTCCGATTAGGGATCCCTGCAGAGAAACACATTTTGGGCCCTGAACTGCTCAGCAAAGCTTTTGTTTCCCGACAGCGGTACGTACACTTACCAGTAAACTCTTTCATCATAAATAAACTGTGGAGAAAATGTAGAAATGTACATTAGCATATGAGGTTGTCCATAAAGCATCGTTCCCTACTACAGACACCCCAGCCCGATATTTCACACATTTCATGAGACCCTGGCTTTCCTATTTGACACATATAACATATAGATAATGCATAGAGACTTTTATCATAAGCAACAGATTTTTTTTGTTAAAGTAACAAATACAGGAAGTTCACTGAAAATAGAAGAAGAGAAATAGAAATGTATTTGCATTTAGCCATAAGCCATTACAAACCAAGGATTAGAGTAAAATTGAAAATATAATAAAACCATACAATCAGAACAAAATTGAGTCAAAAGGTGTCTGCTAAGATCAATATAGGTCCCGATCACACGCAGAAGTTGCCGCGGGATACTCACGGATGCCGTGCGGGTTTTATGGGTGCGATCAAACGGGCACATCTGGCAAGCGTTGTGTACCCGTAGCCAACCTGTCCCGTCCGGCCAAAGATCCGGAGTTAAAATGTACCTGTGAAAATCCACTACCAAAAGCTTGCGATGGGCCGCAGATGGACCTCCTCCGTCTGATTGCTCCAGTGCGCTCTTTCTTGTCGTGTTGAAGCGCGCCAGAAACACGCGCCGCCAGAAACAACCCCGGTCCGCCACCGCAGCGTCAGATCAGGTAGTGGCGGATTAAATTGCGGCAGCACAAATAGTCACGCCTCCCCCCGGCATTATCTGGCCCATGTGACCTGGGCCATAAATTAGTTCCCATAAGAACAGCGTTAGCCCGTATTTTCTTTGCAGCCAAAGTATATAAAAACATTCTATAGGATATGTTGGCAGCGAAATCAGCTAACAAGAATACAATCTTCTCAGAATCTGAGTAGAAACGTAAGTCTGATCAAATTCTGGAGATAAATTTTGACCTAGGTTGGGCATACATCGGGCATTCAGGAATATAATGGGGAAGATCCTCGATAACAGAAGAGCCACAAATAAAAAAGCTCTGTTCCTCAGGTGTTCTATTGTTTGTTGTTCAGTCGCACAGTCGAGTCTGACTCTTCGTGACCCCATGTACCAGTTCACGCCAGGCCCTCCTGCCTTCCGCCGTCCTCTGAAGTTGGCTCAACTTCATGTTCGTTGCATCTATGACACTGTCTAACCATCTCATCCTTTGCCGTCCCCGTCTTCTTTGACCTTCAATCTTTCCCAGCATCAGGGTCTTCTCCAGTGAGTGCTCCCTTCTCATTGGGTAGCCAAAGTATTTGAGCTTCAGTTTCATTATCTGGCCTTCCAGGGAACAGTCAGGGTTGATTTCTTTTAGGATTGACTGATTTGATCTTCTTGCAGTCCAAGGAACTCTCAAGAGTCTTCTCCAGCACCATAGTTCAAAAGAATCTATTCTTCGGCGCTCGGCCTTCCTTCTAGTCCAACTCTCGCAGCCATACATGACTACTGGGAATACCATTGCTTTGACCATGCGGACTTTTGTTGGCAGGGTGATGTCTCTACTTTTTATCATGCTGTTTAGGTTCGCCATCGCTTTCCTCCCAAGGAGCAGGCGTCTTTTAATTTCATGGCTGCTGTCACCGTCTGCGGTGATCTGGGCTCCCAGGAACGTGAAGTCTGTCACTACTTCCACGACTTCCCCTTCTATTTGCCAAGGAATGATGGGGCCGGATGCCATGATCTTAGTTTTTTTTATGTTGAGCTTCAAGCCCACTTTTGCGCTCTCCTCTTTCACCCTGAGCAAGAGGCTCTTTAGGTCCTCTTCACTTTCTGCCATTAGAGTGGTATCGTCTGCATATCTGAGGTTGTTGATCTTTCCCCCAGCAATCTTTATTCCCGCTTGTGATTCATCCAGGCCAGCCGTTAGTAAAGATAAAAGCACATGCTTCTAAGCCCTGACATCTGTTACTTCCAGATTGTGCTGTTTCAGCTACAGTCAATGCAACAACCAGGACTGTCTCTAACACTCCAGCAACCTCGATAAACTGTCACTTGCTGTGCTGGCAAGTGGCACGAGGAAGACCTGAACTCTTCACTTTCACGGTAGGGCTTCTCGTCCGCTCTCCTGCAAAACGGCCGGTGTTTAGAACAGGGTAGGATTTGCACTTGGGCCTCCTACTCACAGATATTCTGCTATACGTCGCCCCACTTCTCCACCGATGTATGCTGTGTTGGTCAAATGACTGTAACCCTACTGCTTTTGAAAGA